TTTGTGTATGGTTGTTGTTGCTACCTGTTCAATTTGAGCTGTTTTCGAATTTTTTTAAATTCATATTTGAAATTAAACTGTATAATAAAGATAGGTAAATGATAAGGATGAAGACAAAAAAGAGAATGCAAAATTGAAGATAAAGACGAGAATGGAGACAATGAGAGACACATAAAAATTAGGATAACAGAACGAATAAAAAAATTAATTGAAATTTGTCGATACGAAATTAAATAAATTGAGTCATAAATATTACCGAAATTTATCGAACCATCGAAGTTTATAGTTATAGAAATTAAAAAAGTTAGCCATGCTTACTGAGTTATCATGTTAACAGAGTATAATGAGCTCCTAAAATATGGAGCTTCCAATATTAACTGAGTTATCGAAATTTATAAAGGTATCCAAAGTTTATCGAGTTATCGATTTATATCTAGATATATAAATTTTTAAGTTATCCAAATTTATCGAAATATCGAAATTCAAAGTTATCGAAATTAGTCGAGTTATCGAATTTTACTGAGTTATCGGATTTTAGTATTCATGAATTTCATCAAATTATTGACATGTATCAAATTTATCGAAATCTTGAATTTCACAGTTATCGAAATTAGTCGAGTTATCGAATTTTGTTGAGTTATCGGATTTTAGTATTTTTGAAAGTCATCAAAAAGTACTGAAATTTATCGATAAACTGGAATGTATCGGGTTAATTCCAAGTCCTGCCAATGTCCTTCAGGGACCTTCAAAGATATAAAAAATTTTGGTCACATTTTAGTTCTAAAGCATGAGATTTTCCGGTAAGTTACTTTGTACCTTATAGGTTTAACTACGTGCTAAGTTAGAAAACCTCTCGGAGGCTCTTAAAAGTTAGAAAATCCGTAAAATTTCGACACTCAAGTCTTTATAGATCCAGTGGAAAACCGCAACTTTTTTTTTTGGTGAGGCACCCTAATGTATGTGCATGCTCACACTCGTTCGCACCAGCTACATTCCAACTATAAAAAAAAATGACGATGAAGGTAAAAATCGCCGCAGAAAAGCAAATATTTTTGCAGTTCACCAGAAATCAGCCAGCAAAAGAGAAGAAATACTTTGCACGCGCACACCCACAAATTTTTGTTCGCACCCTCCCCACGTCTTTTTTTTATACTTTGATTGAGTGAAAATTGCTTTGCTGAAAGGTGATTTTCGGTTAAAAGGTGTCGAAAGTNCCTGCGGTCATCCACAACTTTAACAAAAACCTCAGCATAAGTCGCTTGTTGTTATTTATTTTTTACCATCCTTTTTTTTTGTAATGGTTGACGTGTGAAAATCCCGTTTGAGCGTATAATTTGTGGCATAGTTTTTGGCGTGCTTTTGAGCCTTTAACATTTTTCTTTCATTCATTTCTTCTGTTAAATTTATTTTCGCAACCTTTTTGGCTGTTATTCGAGGATGAATGTGCAATTGTTAATGTTAATTTCTATTATCGTTCAGCAAGTTACACACACACACAAACACACACACACACACATACGTGTCTTCTGTGTCTGTAGTCATAACTGTGTGAGTTCATTTGTGCTTACGTACGTACCTTATATGTTTGTAGATTATCCACAACACATTGCAGTATCGCCTCTCGTCCCACCGGTATCGTGACATTTTGTAATGGCTCGCCGAATTTTGGTAAATCTGTAAGATGTAATAAAACAAATTGCATTTGGTTAGGAGTACTATGTTAGGTTTTTGACGTTTTGAGTGTAATAAAATTATAGTTTAAAAAACTAAAACCTCCCTATTATAATTGCCATTCGTACTGTCATCGGCTGCGTTTCTTTATACATTCCGGATAATCCCATTTCACAGCCGGAATAAACAGAATACGTTTGAAATATACGTTAACATATCATCAGGAGCGTTCTAAAGAATAAGTAAACAAAAAAGTTTATTCCAAACGTTCAGAATGAATAAAGAAATTCAGCCATCAGGTATGTATGTAACTTGAGAATAGAAATCGCTGCATCTTTTAGGCGCATCAATATTACATAGTTACATTCCGAGCTAATAAAAGGAAGGTAAGAAGGTAATAAAAAGCAGTCACAAGACGAGGAAAAATTGTTAGTTCAGTAAGTTTTTTTAATTTCCTGCATAAAAGTCCACAGCGCTCCTAATCCTACGCGTATATCTTTTCGAGAAATTCCACTTAAAATACTTTTGCAAAGAGCTTTAAAAAAAATTTATAAAGTGATAATTAAAAATGCATAAAACAATCCCAATCTTCTTTTTTTTGGCACCCATAGTGCCGTTTTCTCGAGTAGCTTTTAAAATGTATCTGCCTTTCAAGCATTCCTTTTTTTCAGAAAAAATTTATGTTTAAAAGGTATATAACTAACTTAGATTGGCGCTTACACAATATGTGACCATTTGGCCGAGCTTATCGCCCGATTTGTGGCGTTCGAGGGGCGAACGCTATTAGGAACAACTTTTTTGTTTCTTATTTTCTAAATTTGGTAGTAGAGTGAGCTCAGACCCAGGCCCTGCGGAATGGTAGCGCGCACCGCTAACCAGTACACCATAGTGACCGTCTAATGGCCCTTAGAACGGTATAAATACATATTTTATAAAAGCTATATAAGAGCTTAGTTGGTTAGTCCGGATGATTTTAAGGAACTTTATTTTTTTGCTAAATTTCTTCGAAGTCGTAGTGTACTGACTCTATGGCTAGTTCTCCGAAAATAACCCACAATGCCGGTCTTACTACCAAACTCCTCAATTTGAAAAAAATTTTATGCACGTTAGGTGTGACACTTAGACGTAAGGCCGCATAAATGTTTTTGAGTGCTTCTATGCAAGTTTTAAAATATTTTCGAATGATAATTCCGAAACAAGTGTGCGCAACTGGTTTGAAGTCCTAGAAAACTTCTGTTAGAGATTTTACGCAGAAAGTCGATATTTTGCAACAATATCTTGCATATATAACTGTTAAATGCATATCATNGTTTTCCTTTCATTTGTTACAACTAGCGCAATTTTTAATAGTTCTCAAGGGTATATTTTTCTATGTGACACGATGCTGCCAAGATGTTAGGCAGTCTAAAATCCGTTGCTTTTGTGCCTTTCAAAGAAATAATATTTAAAGAGGAAAAAAGTAAATCCACGTTATCGTTGTTTTCTTGCACATATGTATGTATGAGAAGAGAATGTTACTCATACGCCATGTGCGTCCGCTTGCTTTTAACTTTTCCGTTATAAAGGTAGATTCAATCGGGGTCCGCTATTTAGAATTTTTAAAATCTGACACCAGAGTATCAAGTTTTAAGCGAAAATTTTGGTTAAAAAAAATCTTGGATCAGTCATTTTGACTTTTTAAAATCCGATACCAGATTTTTAATCAGCGACCACAACAAGGTTTAAAAAAGTAATTTTTATTTCACTTATTAGCATATGTAAATTTTTTAATGATATTATATGTAGGTTTGTGAGTTTGATGAATTGCATCATGATTTTTTGTTTGGTTTAAGGTGTTTAACATTTTTTCGATACAAAGTGTGTTCGAAAATTTACTTTTATATGGAACACACTTCCAGAAAAAAAATAGAATAGATAGAAAAAATCAACGGGACCTCTGAGCAACTTAACCCTTAATTAGGCGCATGGGGTCAAGGCCATTTCAAGTTAAAAAAAAAAATTACTGGAAGTGCTTGAAGCACGCTCGTGTTTTTCTAGCTTCTTAACTCCCCGCGGGGTATGTAAATTAGTCACGGACAGAACATCGGCGTGTACACATGTGTCGCTACTCCCTTAAGTCCCGACCCCATGCGACCACTTACGTAACATTTTTGGCGGAGGTAAGTTTTTATTTTTGTATCTGAATTTGAAGACAAAGTTATACTTTTCCTTCTCAAAGCTAACTATAATAAAGGGCTTTAATATTTATGACAATACATATGTGTCGCTACTGAGTAAGGATTTGTGAAGTCAGCCACCATTTTCTCGAGGGTCTGTTATCTGTTTATGCTTCACAATGATAAAAGAAAAACAAAAGTTTCACAATTTTTCGAAATTCGAATTATTTTCTATACAAAATACATTGGGCGTTATAAAAAAAAATTTTAACAACTATTATTAAAAAAAAAAGTGTGGCGAAATAAAAAGTAAAAATGGGCAGAAAGCACCATTATTGGTAGAATCGGTATTACCGATCGCGAGAAAACAATTAAAATCTAAAAAATTTCGAAAAATTTTAATAGCTAAGACTTCAAAAATAATTCGAATTTCGAAAAATTGTGAAACTTGTAATTGTGAAAACTTGTGTAATTGCACAAAAAAGCTCGACCTCTGAAAAATGCTGGCCCACTTCACAAATTTTTACTCTACTCTCTCCAAATAAATAATAAATTTCATTTTGACTAATGGAAAAAAACAAGTAAATAATACCGCTTTCTTACAGTAACAATTTGAATTGCACAGTTTTGAATTTGAATTTCTCAGTTTTGAAAAAAAAATAAAATTGTTCAAATTTTCCCAAGTTGGGACTCGAATATCTCCCAGCCGAAAAACGATAGAAAGCTGAAAACTTACCTCCAAATTTAGAATTAATGGGGAATAAACCTGCGTTTTTACTTTTCCAAAAAAAAGCATTTTTTAAAGATTGAGTTTTTTGCCCGCTTGGCCCCAGTGTGCGACATCTAAATGTACACAGTTCATTGAGCATGCATTAACACACATATATTTATATATATGCGTTAGTGTGCAATATCAGCAAGTTTATTTACTCGTCTGCCAACCGCATATCTGCCTTTGTCATTGTCATTTTCGCCGTCGAAATCACTCAATCATATCAATTACACTTTACGTCCTCTTCAATGGGGTTGCACATAAAAAAAAAATGAAATATAAAGAATTTAATGTAAAGCAAAGTTAAATAAGCATATCAAGTCCCCTACCAGTTGCCGATTGAATGGCAAAGATGATTTTTGTTTACGCTTTAAAAAGCCTATAAGAAGTTGCTGTGACAGTATACTTTTGAAGTAAATGTATAAGTATATAAGTACATATGTGTGCTGAGTCCTGTTGTAATACATGCNCAGTCATTTGTATGCGATTGTCTGCGTGCTGGCACATAACTACATACATACATATGCACATACATACATGCATTCGTAGCTACCTTGCAGGGAAAACATTTTACTCACATTAAAAGTTTATATCTTGGTAATATTTAGTGTGGTTTTAGCCAAGCACGCGAGGTCGTTGTGTGTTCTAATGTGGCTTATAGCTAGCCGAACGAATGGAATTTCCTATGGGGTGCGCTTTGAAGACCGAAATTTATGTATGCCCGTAATTTTATGTCACCATTATATTAAAGTATAAATTATAGTAATAGATGTACTAATGTTCGTGTGTGTGTTTATACAACTCTGTTGCTGAAAGTTTTGGTTTTGTTTTTGATGCCACAAATTCGACATATAAAATTTATGCTTATGTTTATTGTTATGGTTTTTTGTTCAATATTATAGTTAAACACTTACTCAAAGTAATAATAACTTAAATATGCTCAAAGCTCAGGCATATGACAAAGCTAATGTCATATTAATAACGGGTGATTTTTTTGAGGTTAGGATTTTCATGCATTAG